GCGCGTATCTGTTTGAACATTGACTCAAACCGCCGCGTATACCGCGTTCGATAAACATGACCATGTCAATGTCGGTGAGCAATTCGAAATTGATGTGTGTATGCTTCAACATAGCATTCCACGTAAAACCCGGTAGAGTATAATAATACGCCGGATCGAGTCCATAACTCGCGACGCAACTATCGCGAAAATTTTCCAAGATATCGGCCAACAGCAAGACATCGGTCTTGAGATATAAATCGCTGTAATCACCGAGCGTTCGAATGGAGAACCGCTGCCAAACGTCGACGGCGTGCGCGTAATCGCTCTCGGATACGGTGTCACCTGTCAATGAACTGTAAAACGAGTCGCGCGGTGGTAAACACAAGTCCTCCAATTTTTCGACGCAGTCAATGTATTCATATAGAAATACGCCTTTTCGTGTCAGCAAATTAAAATTTTCTGCGGATAATTCACAAAATTCGCGTTGCAATATTCGCAGTTTATCCTTGCTGAGATAAGATGCCAATTTGTCGAGACTAGCGGTGAGAAACTTGTACGAATCGATAAATCGCAATTTGACGCACGTTTTCTTTTTTTATCTTTGGTGCTTTGAACGTTTTTTGTAAACGAAATATATTTTTCTTTTGTGATCGGGAGTAAATCTACATGTCCTTTGTATGCTGTTGCTATTTCAGTTATAATAAAATGTGCATCGTATCCCAATAAATTATGAAACACTATGAGAATGCAATGCGAATCTTTATAATTTAAGTTACAATTCAAATGCGCGGGACCTCTGTATCGACCGGTCAGGTGACAATGGTCGCGTACTCGCACGTCGTCTGGCTCGAACGGTTTTTCGCACACGTGACAGTGCGTTGCGCTGTTAAACTTTTCCCACTCGTCTCGCGTGAAATCTGCCATGGGTATATTAGTGGACAATATAGTTTTTACCGACTCATCCGCCGGAATCGACGCGTTTTCCCACCCGAGACCCTGCCGCCGCACCTATCCGCGCCGAGAAAACGCGACAAAGGGAGGATATCGCGGTAAAAAATGTAATAAGAATAGCGTTTTTTTACATCCGGGAAAAAATACATCGAGGATAGATGCATTTTATCAAACCGACTCATCCGCCGGAATCTTCGACGCATTTTTTTTCCACCCGAGACCCCCGCCGCCACCTATCCGCGTTATCGCTAACGAGCGTCCTCGCGTAAACGTTCGCATTCGAAATGCTCATCGAGATCGCGCTCAAACCGCAACGCGCCGTCATCGCAGTTCCGCCGTTTCTCGCTCTCGACGATGTGGCTCGCGCGCGTAATCGCGTTAACCGCGTGTTTTATCGCCGTGAGGTGCATCAATCCCAAAATTACGGACCAAAATTACGCGCTCACGTTCAATTACCTACAGAAATACGGATATCTGTCCAAAGATGTGGACGCGGTTCCAGCTCAGAGACAAAACGACGTTCTTCGCAAAGCCTTCGAGGATTTTCAGAATTACTACGATTTACCCAGCGATGGAACGCCTAACAACGAAACGCTGCAATTGATGAATAAGCCGCGATGCGGTTTCCGAGATATCCTGAACCACGGAACGAAAGCGAGTCTATCCAAATGGCCGAAGACGCACCTGACATGGAATTTTTACGTAGCCGACGAGGCCGAGCTGAGCACAACGCAGCATTCGGCATTAACGTTTGAACGCTCCGAAACGAATCCCGATTATAATATCTTGGCGACGCCTACGTCACTATAACACGAATACCAAGGTAAACGGACCAATTTGCTCGGACAGCTTCGACGGTCCCGGTAACGTGCTCGCCCACACGTCTCTCCCGACGGACGAAGCGGGGTTCGTCTCCGAGGTGCACGTCGACGGGGACGAGCCGTGGCACATTTACATCAATAAACACCCCGCGGATAGGTTCTCCCTGCATTACACGCTGACGCACGAGATCGGTCACTCTCGGATTGTTGCACAATAGACGCAAAACATCGATGATGTTCGCGTTCACGCCCGACAAGCAGTATCCGGTCAAGCTCGACCAAAACGACATTGCCAACATTCAACGTTTGTACGGTGAAAAAATTACGAACGAGCCTCCGCAGACGCCGGCACCGGCGCCGGCGCCGCCAATGCCGGACCTGTGCAGCCTCGATCGCGTGAACGGGATATTAATTTTGGAAAATTGCATGTACATCTCGTACAAGCGTTACGTTTGGTCGATCGATCTGGTAGAACGTACAACGGGCCTTTAGTCCTTTCGCATCACATAAGCTTTTTTCACGACAATTCACGCGCGTGACCGCCGCCTATTAATTCTCGTCCGGCGATCTCGTGGTGTTCGTAGATAATTTGATATACTTGGTTCAATATCCGGAATTTAGTCTGCGGCCAGGTCGGCCGAAGACCTTGCAAGAACTCGGATTTCCCGAAAAAACGATAATCAACGGAGCGGTGAACACCCACAGAGGACGTTCCTTCGTGGTGTTCAACGGTAACTCGGTGGGCGAGATAGACGAATGCGACAAGGACAAAATAGTCGCCACGCCTCTCGAGGCAACGTTTCCCGGAATACCGACCGGCGTGACGTCGATCTTCCGCTACGTCGACGGCAATCTGTACTTCACCACTCGAATGCAGTTTTACAAATTCAACAAATTTACGAGGACCGTCTCGTCGGCTGGTAAATTCGATCTGCGGATACTAAATATTGTCTGCCCTAAGGCCGAACTGTTGCAGCAGTTGCGCGATCTCCTCGATCGAATCGTACGCCTCAAAGATGATTTAACGTCTCCGGCGAGCGATTATTCGGACGATGACGACAACGGTGTTCGGGTTTCCGATTGCCGTATCCGCCGAAGGAAGTAGAGGATCGCGCAAATTTCCCACACCACGTCAAACCACACCACACATCGCGCGACATAAGTAAGAATTTTCCTATTTATACAGATGTGTCCTCCCCTTCAAAGCATCAGTATCGCATCGCCAGCCGAATACGACGCGTCGGAAAAAATCAGAAACGAACGGTTACTGCAGCGCGCGTGCGAAATGTTCTCGATGTTGACCGATCAACCCGCGCCGAAGGGTATTTCCCCTTGCGAGGCGGATTCGGAGATGAACGACAACGGCAATAAAATACGAAGGATCGATCTGACGGACAATCACTATCGTCATCGGAAGTCGCGTTCCAGCTCTCACCTTCTCACCGACATGCCCGTCGAATTGCCCGCAGTGCGCGTCCTGACGACGCGTTATCTGCTGACGACGACTGGCTACAAGTACATAGCCATAGGTATCACGATTAAGTTACCGTGGTACAGTATACATACCACGCCTTCGTAGGTGGATATCGCCCTGGGAGATAAACAAGGCAGGGAGGTCTCCCTGACACTCGACATGTGGAAAGGACTGGTCGAGCGCAAACGCGACATATTGTCGTCCATGCAATCCATCCTTGATGGAACCCGCCCCTCCTCATATCGATCGGAGGAATGACGCTGCGATTCGGATTGATCAACAACCTGTCAATCCTACGTATGGAGCTACCCAACGCGGCTCGCGTGGCGATGGCGCTCAAAACCCTGATCACGCTGTACAATCTCCAATTTTGCGTCGATCGCATCGTCTCGGCGCTGAGCACGGCGACCGAGGAGGTCGACGCGAAGTTTTCGCGCTATCGGGAGATAGTCGCCAACGCGATCAAAGTGGGAACTTCGGCTCAGATTGCGATACTGAAGAGCGAATTCTTCGATCCTAACAACATTGTCGACTGCGAGATCACCGCGTTCTGTTTCCGATTCTAATAATGTCGCGACGCGCGTCTACAAATATATATTTATACGCGCGAAATAATGTAAACGCACGTCAACGTGCGTGTATTTTTTCAAAATAAAAAAATTACGTATCTTATCTGTGCGCTCTCTCTTTCTTTTTTTCCTTTTTTCCCAGATCCGTATACCTATCTCTACACGACCACGCTTACCCCCGAAATTGTGGCGATCGCGTCATCCGCGATACGCGGGGAAAGATCAGAACGACCTTCAAACCGAGAAAAAACAATATCGAAGAAAGATAACCGCGATCTGCGAATGGAACGACCTTGAACGCATTTTTCGCGCGCTCACTCGCACCAACGCCGCGCGGGACGTCGACAGGAACGACCTCAAACGAGTTCGAACAAGTTCGAGCGAGTTCGGACGCGCCCGGGCGCGAGCGAAAAAAATTAAATCGCAATTTTCAAAACGGTTGATAACGGCGGGAGCGCCGCTCCGAGCGACCCCTCGGAACGCCCGCGTCCCCGCACCGAGCCCTGTTGGCGACCCTGCGGCGCGATATTCCTAATTACCCGCCTAGGGAATTTACGTCCTACAAGGTCCCCACAAATACCAGTAAATAGCCGTCCCCTCTCGTCGCGCTCTCCTTCTCGCCCGGCAAATATTAGTAAGTCGCCTAGGGACTTTTCCCCCCGCGACACCCCCCCACCGATGACCCTTAACACCGTCCCTCGACCCCCTCGCCCACCGCTTACGGCGTTCCTCCCGTGTCAACGAGGCACCCCCCGACTCCACTTACCGCAAGCGCATGCCCGAGTGTAAAAGTTGCTGTTACCCTTCTACTTATACTGTTTACCCAAATACAAATATATTGTTAAATTTATTTTATATTCACTAAAATTAATTGCAAATATTATTTTTATGAATAAAAATAGCAAAACGGCGTGCCACATAAGAGCCTACTTTTCGTTCTTTGCCATCAGCCATACAAGTAAAAAGAAAATAAATACATAACATATTTACATATAAGACGTATATAATAGACTGAGCATTCTAATAAGACAGTCTTGCGGCAAGATGTTAAGGACAGGACAAATCTGCTTGTAGTGCCGCTTTCCTTTTTTATTATTTGTGACAGATATTTAAACATTTTATTAATTTCAATTTATTTTGTATTATTTGGATCTTATCATCATATCATATCCCGAAGAACCAGAAATAACTAAAACCGTAATAAAAAATGTAACATTTATCTAATATTGTAATGTCGAAGCGTAATACTTGACATTGCGACTAGTCCAAGTCGAAATTGGTGGTCATTATACTCAAGATGTCGAGATTGAATCCGTAAAAATATCACAAGTCCAAAGTAAAAATTTCCAAAGTCTATTTTTCAGATTCTTCAATCACACACGTATGCACGCATCGCACAATCCATTCAATTCCGTTTTTCTTTATGTCAACTACATGTACAAGTCTGTCAAGAGACGATTCAATTTTGACAATACATTTTTGGAAGACCAATGTTAAATTAGCGGTAGATTTGCTCCTATTTTTAGTCGTAACAAATCCTATTCCGCCTTTTTCAACGGTAACTTGATTTATCTCAATTTATTTAACAAGTTTGTATTACAATTTATTAGTCTTGGACTGGTTTAAAAATTTCAACACATTTACACGTATCTTTACTTGGAAAAATATCTCATTATCCTTCAGTTAATTATACATATATACATATAATATATATGTATTATATGTATATTTAATATATACAGAGTGTTAGTGTTTGAGATCGCAACAATTCGCATTGCGACGAAGTAGCGTTCGGCTGCATGTCAGCACATGCACGTTTGCAGTAAATTTTGGTCTAACATTTCATGAAGTGAAAGTAACTAATGTTCGCGTAAAATC